ATGGAGTAAATGCAGATTATCAAAACCAAAGGAGGAGCTAAGATTTGGGCTCTGTGAGGACTCCAGTGATTGATCCTGGGAGGAGCATATGAGAGCTGCTACACCAGCTCTCAGCCGTGTTACCTCTCAAACTCCAAACCTCACATCCTCTCCTATCATGGAAGACTGCCATTTTGATTACAGCAAGTAGAAAGAGTTCTTGAACCAAGACCCAGCAGCAGCAGGCTCTCCCAGGGTGTTTACAGACAGTGCTTAATCTCCACTTCAGAACAACACATCTTGTTTTAATATATGGTTGTTACAAATCTCATCAGGGATTTTAAAGAGAATTGATTAAGCCAGGAAACCAACAAAGGAACCTTAAAGGAAAACCGAGGGAGAAAAGATGAGAGCATTGATTGAGGCCCGAAGCGTTCACATTTAAACACTAGTTCACTTTTCTGGGCTCATAGCTTTATAGAATCTTCACCAACTGCAGCGATGATGACGCCCGGAAACAAGCTCGGAGCACTCCGCACCGGCACGGGCACCCGCAGTGGCACCAGCACCGGCATCGGCATCAGGCCCCTGAGCCCCAGAAAACTGCCCTGTAAGTGGCTGCTTAACCTCAGCCACATCATCGTCTTGGGCTTGGAACCCCCTTAAATCAAGGGCTGGGTAAAGATTTTGTCTCAAGCCCCATGCTCTGGGATGTGGTTTGTGCCTGGTCTTTCTCCGTGTGGGGGTGGAGCAGCTGTCTGCCCCCTTCTCCAGAGCTCCTGGCTTCCTTGGTAACAGTGACTTCCGCTCCTGGCCTGCCTGCTGTCCTTGGGTACCCATGCAGGATTGCTTCTGCAGGTCTTGGCGCTCAGATCCTCAGAAAGATATTAACATACAAACATAGTTTGGTATAGAGTTTGTGTAGAACCTACACGTATCTCCCCATATGTTAAACATTCTCTTGACTGCTTATAATAGCTCACATAATGTCAGCGGCACAGAAATAGTGTCTATACTGTATCGTGTAATAATGAGTCGAAGCAGTCTCTGTCTGTTTAGAACAGGTGCACTTTTTTCTCGTGTTTTTGATCTCTATAGTGACTCTTTAAATTCAGGACCTGCACATATGGAAGGACTGACAGGGGTGGCATACAGTTAGCTCCATCCTGTGTTTCGCTTTATCTAGTTTTCTATGCAGAGTTTGAAACTTTCATTCATTCTCTTTGCTGGGAAAAACTTACAGGAAGAAACAAAAATCACAGATGAAAAAAAAAAAAGCAAAAGATGGAAGAGTTGAGAAGAGAACTTCCCCAACTGCACTGAGTTAAGTTTGCTTGAATCCTCCCATGTGTGTGTGTGTGTGTGTGTGTGTGTGTGTGAGAGAGAGAGAGAGAGAGAGAGAGAGAGAGAGAGAGAGAGAAAGACAGAGAGAGAGAGAGAGAGAGAGAGAGAGAGAGAGAGAGCGCATTCACAACACAGGTACGGACAGCGCCTGGTGTTTGTCCTTACCTCCTGCCCTGTTTGAGACAGGGTCTCTCTGTTGTGTCTCTGCATGTACACTAGGCTAGATGGCCCAGGAGATTCAGGGCATTCTCCCCTCATCTCCCACGTGGCGTTAGGAGCACTGGGGTTAACGAGGCACACCACTACACCCAGCTTTATGTGTGTTCTGAAGATCTGAACTCAGTCTACACGCTTGTGGAGAAAGCACTTTACCCCGAGACCCCCCTAGTGCTCATGAGTCCTGCACAAGTGGGGCTGCTTAGCAGGAGACATGCTGGCTGTCACGCTGGGAGACCCGAGTCCTCCACATGGTGGGAGGAGAGAACCAGCTCCTGTGAGTTGTCCTCAGACACCGATGCTATGGCACATACACTGACCCAACCAGTCATCACTCACTCAACCAACCAGTCAACCAGTCACCACTCACTCAACCAACCAGTCATCACTCACTCAACC